AAAGGAAGAAAGACGGAAATTTTATATTCTTGATTCACCAGTGTGTGGATCCTAACGTGTTCGAAGAACTTGTACGGTAGAGATGAAAAACTGAAAAGGGTGAAGTTTCAGATGTCAATAAAGAAATTCGAGATGCCTCGGATGAAGGAAGATGAATCAGTCTCGGAATACCTTTTATATATGGTGTTGTTAACAAACCAAATGAAGGTGTATGGTGAATTAATCAACGATTTGTAGAAGATTGAGAAAGTGTTAAGATCTTTGATAACGAATACTAATTACATTGTAGTGTCAATTAAAGAGTCAAAGAACCTAGATGAGATGAATTTAGAAAAACTTGAAGCTTCATTAGAGGCTCATGAGATGAGGCTGAAGCAGAGAAACTTAGAAAGAGATAAGGTTTCTGAATTGGCACTGCAAGCAAGATTCATCAAAAAGTATGGAAAATAGAAAGTGAAATAGAGAAGAATCTTGCTAACAATGAGAAGTCAAGCAAGAATCCAAAGAATCACTATGATTCGACCATGAAAGACAATGGGCAACAAGTATTCGAGGAAGAAAGTTGACATGAAGGAGGTGCAATATTACAACTATCAAGGCTTTGCCCATTATGCTCGAGATTATCAAAGAAAGAAGGAAGAATGAATAAAAGATGGCGATGAAGTGCAGTATGCACATGCTGAAGATAATGATTTTGATGATGTGCTACCCATGGCTAACACTCAGTCAAACACTGAGGAAACCAACAAGTGGTACATGGATTCAGGATGCACTAACCACATGAGTGGTAATAAAAATTGGTTCACCAAGCTAGATGAATTAGTTCAGAAAGTGATAAAGTTTGCAGATGGAAGACATATCATATCATGTGGAAAAGGAGATATCTTTGTTGTCATAAAGGATGCTTGAAAATCCAGAATCACCGATGTATTGTATGTATCTTCAATGATAAGTAACATGATAAGCGTATGTCAATTACTCGCAAACGAGTACAACATGAAGTTAGAAAAAAAATCATATGAAGGCGTATCATAGTGATGGAAGGTTGATTCTGAAGGCACAATTGGCAGACAATAGGACCATCAAATTAGAGAACAACACAGTTGATCACAAGTGTGTTGCTTCGACTGTAGAAGAAGACGAGAATTTACTATGGCATCACAGGTATGGACATCTAAACTTTAGAATTTTAGGTATGCTCAACCAGAAGAAGATAGTGTATGACTTACCTCAGGTGAAGGAACCAAGTCAGGTATGTGAGAAATGTTGCAAAGCAAAGCAGACTAGGAAAGTATTCAAACATGACTTGCCCATGAGGTCAAAATAAAAGCTTGAATTCGTTCACTCTGATATGTGTGGACCTTTTGAAGTATGGTCTGGAGGTAACTGTTATTTCCTAACTTTCATAAACTAATTCACCATATATATGTGGATTTACCTTATTGAAAAGAAGAGTTATGTATTCGCACAATTCAAGAAGTTCAAATTGAATGTTGAGATGCAAAGTGGATGCAAGTTGAAGAAATTGAGAACTAATGGGGGTGGTGAGTACACCTCTCGAGAGTTTGCTAGATTTTGCAATGAGAAAGGTATAGAGCACGAGGTCATTTCACCATTTACACCTCGGCATAATGGAATAGCTAACTAGAAGCACATTGAAATCTAAAGATATGCCAAATAGATTTTAGTGTGAAACAGCTTCGACAGTGGTATACATTATAAACAGATGTCCAACCAAGAAGATACTTGAGAGAACTCATTATGAGGCTTGGATAGGTGTGAAGATGAATGTTAGTCATCTTAGAGTGTTTGGATCAATGTGCTTCAGACACGTACCTGAACAACTGAGGAAGAAACTAGATTATTGAAGTCATGATATGATGCTCATGGGTTATCATTCAACTGGTGCATACAAATTGTATTCACTAAATGGTGATAAACTTATGATTATTCGAGGTGTTATGATGAATGAAAGCAAAGGGTGGGATAGAAGTCAAGGGTCAGTTCGACAAGAGCATGAAATAATCACAACTATGCTTGAGAAATACCAACAAACTGAAGTCCCGATCGAAACAAAAAACCACCTGAGTTGAATGTTAGGAGATTTACTAGAGAAAGAATTAAGTCAAGAAGGCTAGTTGGGTATGAGAGATTTCTAGATCAAGCAGTTGATGCAAACGGTGACTTAATAGAAGAAGCTATGATGATGATAATGGCTAAAGCTGAAGCAATCAATTTGGATCAAGCTATGAATGATTCGAATTGGTTAGCAGCCATGAAAGAAGAACTTAGTGCAATCGAGAAGAACAAGACCTGGGAGATTGTCGAATAGTCAATCAAGAAGGCAATTAATGTGAAGTGGATTTACAAGCTAAAACGAAGGCCAAACAGTGAAATTGTTAATTATGCAAAAATCTATTATTGATTTCGAGAAAGTGTATGCACCTGTGGCGAGGCTGGAAACCATAGGAATTGTTATGTCTGTGACAACATACAAAGAATGAAAGATATTTAAACTAGATGTAAAGTCATCATTTCTGAATGGACTTTTGAAAAAAGAAGTTTATGTCAATCAATCACCAGGATTCAAAATCAAAGGGAAGGAGTCGAAGGTATACAAATTGAGGAAGGCTCTTTATGGTTTGAAGCAAGCCCCGAGAGCTTGGAATAAGAGAATAGATAGCTTCTTGATCGAAGTAGGTTTTACAAAGTGTGTCTCTGAACATGGAGTGTATGTGAATGATGCAAACATGGTCAATCGAATAAACTTGTGCTTGTACGTAGATGACTTGTTGATTACATGTGCAGATGAAGCAGAGATAAGAATAGTCAAGTCAAAGCTAATGCAGGAGTTTGAAATGTTCGACCTAGGAAATTTTTCATATTTCTTAGGGATGGAGTTCAAAGACACAGGTGAATGAATGTTCCTGCACCAGAAGAAGTATGCCCAAGATGTCTTGAAGAGGTTTGAGATGAGCAATAGTAATGCAGCTGTCATGCCATTATAAGATAGAGCAAAGTTGAAAAAAGATACATATGATGAGTTCGTAAGTGTGACATTTGTACAAATAAATTTTTGGATCCTTGAGGTATCTTTGCAATACCAAGCCATATATTTGTCAAAGTGTCGGACTATTGAGCACCCAAGAATGTCATCTCACTGCAGTCAAGAGAGTGTTGAGATATATCAAAGGTACGATTGATCATGGTGTGCTGATGCTAAGATAAAAGAAGACCAACACTGATATCAAGGTATATGGCTACACTGATTCAAATTTCAGTGGAGATTAAGACAAGAAGAAGAGTACTGCAAGCTACATATTCATGATCGAATGCGCTCTAATCTCATGGAGCTCAAAAAAGCAAATCATTATGGCTTTGTCATCTTGTGAAGCTGAGTATGTGGCTGCATCATATGCAGCATGTAAAGCAACATGGATCGAAATGTTGCTCGAAGAGCTCAAGATAATGGAATCTAGAAAAATGAAGTTGTTTGACGATAATAAGTCAGCGATCGACCTGGCGAATCATTTAGTGTGTCATGGTCAAAATAAACACATAAAGAGGAGGTATCATTTTCTTAGTGATCAAGTTAACCTAAAAAGGCTTGAACTCGAGCATTGTAAGACAGAATGTCAACTAGCTGATATACTCACCAAATCCTTGAAGAAAAACATTTCGATCCATTGGAATGAGAAGTCTTGAAGAAAAACATTGGAATGAGAAGTCTTAAAAACATGAATTAAGTGGTGTGTTAGTTGTAATTCATTGTTTGTTGAAAGGTAGCATTCGACTGTGTCAAAGTAGCTAGTAAAAGTAGTATGAATCAGCTGTATTCAACAGAGTCGAATACAACATATAGTTATGTTAAAGTGTAACTTGTAATTTTATATTTTACACTTTATAAATTTTGAAACTAGACTTTAGTTGCCTATATAAAAGTCAGGTATGTTGTAAATAACAACTTCACTTAATAAGGATTCTACTTTTCACAAACTCGATTTATAATTTTTCTTTTTTCTCTCTTTTTCTTCTCTTATCTTTCTTAAAAACCCTTTTCTTCCAACATATTATACATTTTTTAACATATTTCAGATTAAACATGCATTAAAATATGAATGATAAATGAAAGATTAAAGACATTTAACTTTTTCAATATTAGATGGACACATCCAATATCTTTTTTGACATTATCAATATCAGAGTATTCGTCTGTGATACCGTTATAGTGCGTTCTTCTCAGTTACTTACATCATATTAACATCATATATTAACACACTAAACACAATAGTGGCTCCAATGAAGCCAACACATGTGCCACAATTGGCGCTTACGGGCGAACTCCAATTAAGACAAATTTCAATTTAACTTGTTCATTTATAATTGTAAGGGAAGATAGGATTTGTCTCCTTCAAATAAAACCACCATAGCACCAACGAAGGTTGGTTGGAGTAGAAACACATACTAGTTAAACATGATTTACAATCTCTCAAAATCTGAAACAACCAACTTACACTTAATTAAGATTATGAACCAATTTTGATCTATTTTTCTCGATGAACATGGGAGAATATCAAGTACATATTAAACATGACCTACAAGCAGCATCATGGAGTTGAGAGATGCCTAAGTTTGAGTGTTTGATATCAAAGGACAGTTCCATACACATTTCATTTTTCAATCCATCATATGCATGCATGCATGCTCATAAGATTTTTCATTCCCAAATTCTAACACCATATCTATCATCTTTGTCAACCACAAAGGGATTAGACACAAAGCTAAGAGAATATCACACATTAACCACTAACCACTATTAGGTTGTTAACTTGTTTCTATCAAATAAAACATGTATCATGTGAGAACTGTCACAGTTTTTCATACTACACCTACCTACGTGTAAGCAATTAAAACTTAAAAGGAGAGAGATAGAGATAGAGAGAGATGGATAGGGAGCAAAAATTAGAAGAGCAAGAGAGCTCCTTATCGCCATGCCGATGCTACTGTGTTGATTCCTCGCCAAAAACCTCGGTGTTGCAAACAGGACATTTCTGAAAAGAACAAGGTAAAGGTGATGACATATACGAGACCCAAAAAGGTGCAAATTGTATAGAAACATGGTTTGAATGTGGATTTCAGAATGCGTTTAATTAATTACCTTGTTAATGCTAAGCCATTTGGTAATGCATTCGCCGTGATAAACATGACTGCATGGCAATTTCATTTGCTGGTCACCTCTTCTGTATGTCATCTGGCAAATTACACACCTGTTTCCAATGCAATTTGATTATGAGTAAAATGAATAAATTTTTTCACTGCATAGCGATTCAAAATGAACATAAATTTTAAAAAATGTTTAGAAACATCACAATTATCCACTAATTTTTATTATATTAACTTTGGTCGGATCACTAATTAAGTTTTGTTGAGATTAAGGTTTTGTTCTTGCACACTCGCCTCATCTTCCTATATAATGTAACATTGCTTCAAGCTTTCATTCACTTCATATTAGTTATCCACAAACATCATCATCTATTCAAGAAAAAAGGTTGAAGAAAAACATATTACCTTTTTCCAGAATTTTTTCTTTTGAATAAGCTACCGAATTTGTACTTCGAGGTTGGAAGCGTATCAATAAGTTCTTGGGAAAGGCCTCGGCTTTGAGTTCCAACTGCTTCCCCCAGGTCCAGTAGTTCCTGCCACTTAAAAAAGATATCAGTGGCCATTCATATTCTGGTTTCTAGTTTTATTTTCTAAAGGGTGAAAAATATTAAAACACAAAGCAGCATCAAGTTCAAATGCATTTAACTTCAATAATAAATTAGCAAATTTCTCAAAGAATCATTCTTTTGCGAGGCCGAATCTTGAAGGAAATGCCGTTGAATGCTTTCAGCATCTAAGAAGCACAGACACGGACACAAAACTGACACTATACACTAACACATAGACACTAGTTAAAATATGAGAACATAGAAATTATTGAATGTAACTACACGTGTCAGTGTCATGTCGGTGTTCAGCACCGGCACATATCAGACTCGGACAAGCCTTCAATCTAAAGTGTTGGTACTACATAATTTAGCATGAATAAATTGCATCTAATGTTTAGTAAATCATAACTATTATAAGAATCCATGATTTGAAAGAACGAAAACAAATTTTAAAACTAAAACTACATATACATATTACACTTTAACACACCTCATAAGTCATATTGTCAGGATCAATGTTGTCTTGCCATATGACCTGCAGCAACGCATACGCAACACAATGATTAGAAACCTTGAGATAAATTTTGTACTCCTTCTGATCACCAAGTTACAATTTGAAAACAGCTTATGAAGTTAAGGGTAAACTTGTTGAAGTTAAGCAATTAAAATGCACTGTGATCCCAAGTTCAAACACCATTTTTAAAGCATTCATTTCAAATAAGATAGTTCCCAATGATTTCTATATTTGCATTTCTTAATTAGTAAAACTCTCAATGCTAAGGTTGTTCAAAAAATAAGCATGTATTTGAGAACAGCTTTGACCAGCAAAATACTTAAGGATGGTTTAATCCAAACATGAAGTTTGTTGATTATAATATGAAAAAAACTGTTTTTTTATAGAAAAGTTATTCTAGAATCCTGCAAATGTAAACTTCAAAACAAAAATACATAAAACATGTTAGCCAAAACAAAAAGTACCATTAGATGCTTAGTGACAAGGAAGTTGAGACACGGAGCACAAGCAAACGACCACAAAATATGATATTCTTAGAACTTGGGTCAGGCCTAACTCAACCCTCACAAAACTGCCTTGTAAGATGAGAATTGACCACCACTTATACGCACATTTGAAAGTCACGAAGCCACAACTCACGTGTGATTAATTTCCAAAATTGAAACTGTGGGACTATTTGTCAAGTACTGCTCAACTACTCAATTTAATGAACATTATCCAAAAAGATGTAGTGTGACTAGATTAACATTTATGATGAAAATATGTCATTTTTGGCTAACTATCTTTGAAACAGTGTCCCCCACAAATTCAAGAATTGGGGACCCAATGTTCCTACCAGGAACAAATGATTGAATATTAAACCAAAAATGCTTTAGCTAAGGTTTAAGAATTTAAGCCCTGTTAATAACAAGGTTTCCTACCTGACTACTACTGGACTCTTGATGATTGGGACTACCTGCGGAAGAAAATAAAAAGAATTATTACATTATATTTTGATTATCATAGCTTTGCTAAATAAATTCACTTCGTAAACAGTAGCATTTAATTCAACTAAAGGGGAGAAAAGTAAGAAAAGAATCACTTAAAAAGTTGGCATGATTTGGACTGTCTTAAAAAAAAAGTAAAAGCTAAAGTTGCTATCATATCATTTTCCTGTTTTTCCAAATAGTTGCAGTTTAAGATAACAACTTCAGTTGAACACTTCAACCTAACAACAGCAAAAACAATGATAACACTCATAAAGAGCCTCATCCAACAGACACTAATACGCTGCTAGCATCCCTGTTTGGATATACAGCTTAGTTAAACGCTTAATATAGGTGCTTGTGTATAAGCTATTTCTATAACAAAAGATGAAATATAGTGAAACAGTTTCATATAAGTTATAAGCTGTTTTCATAAACTACTCTGGAGAGCTTATGAAAATAATTTGAAAACAGCTTATAGCCATGTCATTGTTTGTTTCCATAAACTCTCTCAAATAGCCTCGCAAGTGTTTATGTCAGTAGATAAACTCATAAGAATCAATCTAAACAGGTCTTAAAGTAATTCATAACGCCTATTAGGGTACAAAAGCTAAATCATAAAAACCATTGATCTGATCTAAGGCGTATGCTTGCAGTAAAATAAAATAAAGTTTCTACTAACATTCTTCAGGGATGGTCTGCATGCTAACTCCATCTCTTCTCGGCGGAGAATCTGATGAAGCCGGTTCCTCAGAGATCACTTCAGAAGGGTATTCCCACTCGACCCTGTTGTTCTCCATTCTTGGCAAATGATCATTTACCTCGTAAGAACTATAATAAGATGTACTTCCGGGGCCAGACATTCCAAACTTATAGGGACTCATGTTCATTGACCAGTAGACATTATCCTGGACAGAACATACGATTACATAGTTATGATCATGTTTGATTCTAGAACAGTATCATACTATAAAACCACATAACAAATAGAAAACTATCAATTCACCATTGTCATATAGTTAATTTTGGCATGACATTAACCATCCACTGTTAATGTCACATTATTTTTGTACGTGATCATCCTATTCGGATTTAAAAACTCGAGAACAAAAAAGTAGACCTTACAAGCTCCTGCGTCAAACATTATGAGCTCCTTTTTTGGGGTGAACCCTAACTCCTCCTAACAGAGGCAATTTTCCTAGCAAGTGTTGTTGAATGACGGTTGTTGCGCCATGCCGTAATGGCCTGGCCTGGCAGATTTTTTGACAACCCCCATAGACAAGGAATGTCTGCAATAACGTGTTTATTGTCGGGTTTTTGGCCTTCCGCCATATTCTGCCATTGACAACACTGCTCCCAACAGAGATGGAGATGCAAACCGTGGTTCAAAATATTTTGAAGGACTTGCCCCTTTAGCTAGAAACAACCATCATTAATAGCAATCTACTTCTATCATGAAACTATTGGAAAGTAGTAGCAGCAACAGTTATAATAAGCTATGAAGCACTGATAAAGACATAGACATTACACTAACACAGACACCAGTAATAACTTTACAAAACATAGTTATTGAACGTAACCACACGTTGTTGGTGTCGGTATCAGACACACCTCGAATCTGAAATGTCAGTACTACAAAGATAATAACATTGCCAATTCCGATTTTATTCCCATATTCTTCGATAAACACTTAATAAATCCATCAACAACACACATTTTTAGATTCAAATTCACGTATAACAAAAACTAACTAAACATAGTAACCAAAACTACAAACATCCAGCAAGAAAAAAAACCTGATCAGGCATTGAGCCAGGAAAAGCATAATTGACAGGAACATGATTAATTCCTTGAAAGAAATCCACAAAGTTTTCATTAACAGCATAAGGAAAACCACCACCATCCATGTAATGCACCCCCATTTGTCTACCATCATTCATCTTCGCAATTTCTCAAATCAAAATCACAACCCTTCAAAACTCAAAACCTACAAACACACACAAAAAAAAAACTACATTACACATCACCAAACAAGCCCTTGAATAACAAATTCATACTAAAACACTAATGCAACAAACAAAAACAAATCTTTACAAAAAGAACAAACAATAAAAAACCTAAAAATGTTTCATTCGAAATATAAACGGTTAATTAATGTTAAAAACATAAACAAAAAATTAGTTAATTTGGAAAAATAAAATAAAAAAATAAAAAATAAAAACCTTGTAGACGAATGAAGAGGAATTGAAGAGAATGGTGAAATTTAGTGGGAATGTGAAAATTTGTGGGAAAAGAGAAGATTGAAGAGTGATTTGAGTTACCTTGTTGTTGTTGTTGTGATACAGAAATGGTTGGAGTAGCAGAAACCAACCACACAGCACCACAGATTTAGTCTCTTTTACTTTTTCTTTGCACTGTGCTCAACAAAACACTTTAAAAAAATACACTAAAGTTTCACATTTAATAATTAATAAATGTTTTTTGTTTAATGTTGTTTTTATTTTATTTGTGAAATGTCACATGACATGAGGTGAGCTGGTAATTTTCAAGACAGGTAAAACACAAACTATTTTTATTTTAATAGGAATAAAAAAATTCATAATTTAGATCAAGTTTGACATGAATCATAAATAACAATAGAGATAGAAAAGTAGTTTGAATATTTGTAAGATGTTTAAGATTTTTTCATTATTATTCTTATAATATGGACTAGCTCAATCAATATATTTGATCAGTAGAATATTATACTTGTGTTCTTTTTAAGGTCTTTTTTATAATTTTTATTTTTTTAATTATTATTTACAAATTTAGATAGTTTTAAATGCACTTTTGTTAAAATTATTTCAAAATAATTATTATAAAGAGATAAAAAGTAAAATAAATAAAATAAACAATTAATAATATTATAAATAAAAAGAGAATTATTGTATAAAAAAATAAAAATATCGATTAATTTTTTTAATATGCATAAAAGATAAAAATAAAAGACATAGATGAAGTATTATTTATAATTCCTTTATTTATTATTGGTGAGATTTAGAGATAAGGCTATTCATTTTAAGAAAATTTTATATTTTAAATATTGATATTTTGTTATTAAGATACTTATAAATTTATTGATTGAATCACATAAGAGGAGATTGATACTTAGATTAACAAATATTTTCGATTCAGACAATATGAGAAAAACATGTAGATATAAACTTGATGAGATTGAGAACTTGAATTTTTATGGTGGGACTCAAAATTAATGATCAAATATAAAACTGTTTATTTCAACAATCTAACATATTTCTACAAGATTTATTTTTTGACACTTTTAATTTTTTAACGTTAAAAATACTGAATTTTTTATAAAATTCAAATTTCATTAATGTTGTATTTGTTAAAAACAGTAAATTTAACTTTTAAAATAATTAATTTTATCAATTAAAAAAATAATAGTGACATTATTAATGTATAATATTTATAACTATATATATTTTTTTAAACGAGGCTTTGCACAAACCTCAAAACTATCGACACTATGTTCCAATAGTTTCTTAATATTTATTATAGGATAATTATTTTAATATCCATATGGATCAAGTGCCACCAAAATTTAGTTTCTTAATAATATATTATTTTTAATAACCGTTTAAATATAATTATTTAATATTAGAGAGAGAAAGTACACTAGAACTAACATAAATAGTTGAGTTGTTTTCCAGTCTATCATCAATCTGCATAACAAAATAAATGCGTATACATTAGAAAGGAAAAGTGAAAGAATACACAAGAAACTAGAAAGAACAAACATACTAAGACATTAAGATACACTAGTGGTATAGTAATAAATAGTGTACAAATGAATTGAATTGGATATGTGGAAGATGCATTTATGAAAGGAAAATCTTTGCTGCATGTGACACTACAACAATATGTAACCGTACATCTGTGTGTGTTTCAGCTTTCAAAGGCTTTATCAACTACAATACCGATTGTTGACCTATAATCTGCAAACAGGAATTAGGTCCCCCAACAAAGATAAGATGTAATAAATGGTTGTGTGCATCATAAATAGGGGTAATTAGGTGATTCTTTAGGTTGGTCACATTGAAAGTGTCTTCCTTTGTATGGAGGTGAGTTTTAGTATAGTGAAGATTATTTGGAATAAGCTAAATGGAGGGTTGGATTAAATGTAATATTGATGGAGACATTATAAAACTATTTGTGAAGGGTCTTAAGGGAGAACTTTGGGTACCTTTTCTATTCTTCAAGTTGCTTGCTTGAGAGAAAGATTATATATTTGTTTTAGTTGAGTTTGATTTAACTATTGTATATGTTATAAAATTTTGTGAAAAAGTTGAAGTATGTCAGTTCTTATGTGAAGCGCAGGAAGTCATCCTATATAGAATGTCATCTTTGGAATTAAGAGAGTTTAAAAATCAATTATAGGAATTGATTGCTAAGGGGTTTATGAGACCGAACATTTTGTCTTGGGGAGTCCCAATCAAAAAGAATGATGGGAGCATGAGATTGTGTATAGATTATAGATAGTTGAACCAAACTACCATCAAGAATAAATATATACTTCCAAAAATAGATGAGCTCTTAGATCAACTTGGAGGAACCAATGTTTTCTCTAAGATTGAGATATCATCAATTTCGAATAAAATCATAAGATGTATTTTGGTCATTACTATTTTTTTTTTCTATTACTGTTATTTCAGATTTTTGGTCATGTCTTTTGGTGTGACGATTGCTCCAATTGAGTTCATGGATTACATGAATAGGGTCTTCCAACCTTATTTGGACCAATTTAGTGTGGTTTTCATTTGTGATAGCCCAAAAGAGCATGTAGTACACCTTAGAATAGTCTTACAAGTCCACAGACACACACAAATGTTGTTCGCTAAGTTGAGTAAGTGAGAGTTATGGATGCAAGAAGTAAAATTCTTACCTGTGTAATCTCTTAGGGATGAGTGGTGGTTGACCCAACCAAGGTAGAAGCCATCGAGGACTAGAAACAACCTTCAACAGTCACGGAAGTTAAGAGTTTCTTAGGGTTGGTTGGATACTACCAGATGCTAATTAGGAAGCCATCTCAAATTGCCTTATCTCTAACCTGGATTACACGTAAAGATTGTCCCTTATATGGACCAACGAGTGTGAAAAAAGTTTCTTAGAACTCAAAACTCGATTGACTCAAGCCCATGTCCTAGTAATCCTTGGTCCTACCCTAAGTTTTGAAGTTTGATGTCATGTTTTTCGAAGGGCTTAAGGTGTACGTTAGTGCAAAATTATAAGGCGGTAGCCTATGCGTCCAGGCAACTTAGGCCTCATGAGAAAAATTACCTGCCCATGAATTTGATTTAGAATCCATAGTGTTTGCCTTGAAATATGGAAAAATTACTTAAATGGTATCAAACTTGGAATTTGTAGTGACTACAAGAGCTTACAATAGCTATTTGATTAAAGGATGTTGAATATGAGGCAACAAAGGTGGATGGAATTCTTGATTGTGTCATACCCTAATTTTTATCCATAAGATTCCACCTATTATATCATTTGTATCTCATCAAGATCACAAGCATGGTATCCTCATAACCTCCCCTACTTTAGTTTTGCCTTTGTGGGAGATCACCAAGCACCTTTTGTGTTTCTTTTTGCCTATATATTTGCTTACATTCTAACTTTTGTAACCTTATTCAAAATACAAAAATATTTGTTGTTTTCTCTTTCTTATTGTACAAGGCAAGGACTTACAATCAATGGATCAAACTTGGTTTCTAAATTAGGGTTTGGATCCTCAAAGTCAAGGTTTGGTTAAAAAGTGGTCCACAAGAGCTTTCACTTCAAGGCATGGCCTATAATCTTATGTCACAATCATGTCAAGCTTCATTCAACATCATTTGATCAAGAGCAATTCAAGTCTAGTGCATGACTTCAAAGTTGATTCAAGTATGGCTCATGTGTTTATTTCCATGACATCTTCATCCAATTCTCAAGCAATCATCAAGATTTTTCAAAAGAAAATCAAGCTTCCTTCATTTGATATTCAAGTGTTCATCATTGGGCCTTTGGATGCAAGAAATGGCAAGAAATGTCAAGTTGACACATGTTTGGTTGGCCTAAAATCAAGTATGGCATGTCACTTGGTTCAAACACCATAACTTCCTCATTTCTCACATTTGAACTCCTCTACAACTTTGTTTCAAGAGTCAAACATCAACTCAACTCCTAAGTCCATCAATTTTTGGATTTGTTCAACTGCCCATGTGTGCACAAAAGTAGGCCCAAGACCTAGTCGACCTAATGTCTTACCTAAAATTTCAGGCCACGACCCCAACTTTGAATCAATGTCATTTTCAATCCAAACATTCTTTTGACATGGTTTTTTTTTCATTGAATTCTTTGCAATTAGGAGAACATTTGGCACAAACAAAATTAAAAAACGCACGAGTGAATTTCATTTGCCCTAGATTCAAACATAGTACCTTGAGCTCTGCTTCTTGGTCAGTTTCATGTCATGATTTTCATGCCCACTCTCAATTTGGGACCACCTGCACATGTACGAACCTTTTGTACAACTAAAACGCGTGCAAACAAGTGCTAAACAATAAGTTTCATGATTCAATCACACATTTCACCCTTGCCCTCACACGGATTGTAAATCAACAAATTTCAACTTGGTTCATAGGTATTTCATATCCATTTCACATGTGTGAGCTCAACAACACTTTTCCTATAAATAGATGGTTGATTTGCCTTAATTTGCAATCTTTGAAAGCCAAATAAACTTTGCAACCGTTTGAACTTGATACCTCAAAAAACCAGTCAACCATTTCTTTGAACCAAACTCGTTTCGCTTTAAAAATTTTCACAGAATCACTCATTGAATTCCTCTGAAGCTAACTAAAGCAGTATCGTGACTTAAAACTTACTACAACCTTTAACT